AGACCTTCTCGCCAGTGACCGGCAGCTTGTAGACCTTCTCGCCAGTGACCGGCAGCTTGTAGACCTTCTCACCAGTGACTGGCAGCTTGTTTCAGTTTGAGATCCCTGCTCTAGACATCCCTCTTGTTGCTGTTATTTTAACTCATGATGCATGTGGCCGGTTGCAGATGGTGACCAAAGCCCCGCCGTTCTGTGGGACTCCTCGCTGGCCCCCACAGACGGTGAGTCCCACTCCTCCATCAGGCTTACCTGGGGGGCTTATCAGCGCTCACTCAAGCATAAGTGTTGGCACAGGGGCATCACACCCAGAGCGGAGTGGGGGTGCACCAGCATCCATCACTACGAGTGGAGCAAACTCGCCCTTTTCGACTTCCTGTTACAGGTGAGCTTGGAGCCCGCAAAGCGAACATGATTCGAAGAGAAATATCAATGTGGGATAAATTAAATATTAAAAGAACGGATGATGATGCTTTTTCTCCTGGTCCAACATGCAAGGACACTGATAATTTGCATTTGTGGGACCTCAAAGTTGTGAATATAATCAGACTAGCTCAAAGTACAGTGATACCATTCCAGACCCATCAGCGATAGGTGAAAATCTGCGATATATGGGGGGCGCGATAGCTGAACCGCGATATAGCGGGGGCACAATAGCTGAACCGCGATACAACGGGGGCACGATAGCTGAACGGCGTTACAGCGGGGGCGCGATAGCTGAACCGCGATATAGCGGGGGCGCGATAGCTGAACCGCGATACAACGGGGGCACGATAGCTGAACGGCGATACAGCGGGGGCGCGATAGCTGAATCGCGATACAGCGGGGGCGCGATAGCTGAACCGCGATACAGCGGGGGCGCGATAGCTGAATGGCGATACAACGGGGGCACGATAGCTGAATCGCGATACAGCGGGGGCGCGATAGCTGAATCGCGATACAGCGGGGGCGCGATAGCTGAATCGCGATACAGCGGGGGCGCGATAGCTGAACCGCGATACAGCGGGGGCGCGATAGCTGAATCGCGATACAGCGGGGGCGCGATAGCTGAACCGCGATACAG